TCGAAAATCAAGCTCTGAGACAATAAAAGCCTCCAGGTTCGCCCTTGCGGCGTTCACACATCTGGCTAGGAGCGCGCAGCGCCTCCAGCGCCACGGGATGCCATGCAAACTCCAAAAAAGACCTGCCTGATGAAAAACCGTCTGGATGGCCTCTAATATTTTGTAAACCTCCGCCGAACTCGATCCTCGAACATGAATTTGACCCAATGGGAAGCTTTTTTAAACGCAGTACTCTTCTACCAATACCAGAACCCTTTCCAATCAACGAAAACAAGTTACTCTGCTTTGGCGCGCTTGTGCCCTCGTTCTGACAAACACCGATCTAAAATCTCGCTGGAATGCATCGCTTTGTGACACAGCTCAAAAACGCCAGCTCCAAACCCTCGAACTGCCTGAGATCTACCTCTCCAGGGAATAACCAAGACATCGCGGTGGGCCCAGGGCGTCTCGACAAGAAGCTTCCCCGCGTCATCGGCGCATTTCGTCAAAGATAGGTCGGCACTAATATCAGGCAGAAAGGGACGCGCAGCAACAAGCGCCTCAGCCATAGGATCAAACTCGCGCTGCAGACTTTGCCACTCCTCAATGGCCTGTCTGAACGCGCGACAGAAGCCGTGCACCGCATAAGGATCCCCCATCAGCGCCCCCACCTTCGTTTTGACTGCGACGTTCCCCCCCTCGATCGGTAGTCGAACAGTGGCTTCTTCAAAACGCTGCAGGCCAAAAACTCTGTCCGCTGGGCCCATCATCTCCTCATTCGCGGACTCCAGAGCCCGCCGCGAGGAAGAGGCAAACCCATTGGCCATATCCTTGCCCTGCAAGAGGCAAGATAGCCCGCAGGCCCGCACTCTGAACATACTGCACTGCCGGACCAACATCGCTCCCTCCTTCCTCCTTCCCTTGCAGAATCCGCGCTCGCAATCTCCCAGCTTGGTCGAACAGCCTCGCTTAATGGCAGCGGCGAAAAAGCCTTGGCCGAGCACGTCTAGAAGGTGCACAACTCTCTTGCCCGTGGCCCCCTCGACATTTTTTTGTGCGCAGAGCAACCCCCTGGCTTCGATGCCGCTCCAGCGGCGCTCCCCCAGACGAGCATATCTCCCCAAAGCCACGATGCAAAAGAGCTTGAGAAGCCTGCGGCACAAAACCACTGTTCTCAGACTGCCACCCCAACCCCGCCTTCTTGAAACGCAATCTGACGAGAGGTCGGCATAGCATAAACCAAACTTCCAGCGGTGCCGACTCAGACGGAACAGCTCTCCTCTTTGATGCTCGCCTAAGATACTCGACCACCCCCTTGATCATCTCCTCCGCCTCCACCGCGTACTCCTCCCACTCCCCGTCGCGCGTGAAACAGCCCCTCAACCTTCCTCTCTCGTGCTCCTCCCAGTCGACCTTTTCCACCTCCATCCCACCCTCGCCTCCAGGACGACGCCAGACTTCCAACCGTTCCTTCTCGGTGATGCTGGACCCCGCTAAATGCCGACGGTCACGTTTTCTCGGGCCCCAGGAGCTGCCAGCAGCCAACCTCGAATAAAGGTTAACATCCACAAAATGTCTCTTCCTCCATACATCTTGAAGGAGTTCAAGATAGAGCCTACGCTTTGCTTCAATATGAACGCGTCTGGTCATGTGCGCGGGTCGGGTAACTGCACGCAGCCGGTTCACAACCTCCTCCTCCTCCTCCTCCTCCTCCCCCTCCTCCTCCTCCTCCTCCTCCTCCTCTCTCACTTCAGCAAGACCACGTCTTATCTCCTCTCGTCGTGCAAGCAATTCTTCCCGTTGACGTCTCGTCTCAAGTACGTCGCGGGAGTGACATTCTCCAGCGCCGTAAATGGATAGGCCCTGCCGAACAATGAGCTCGTTGAGGGCAGAGAAAAAACTGTCGAGGGTGCTTTCTCTCAGCATGTTCGTTAACTCCAACTCTCTCTCCTCGCACTCATCGTTGATAGCTCGTAGTAGCTCCCTCCTTCTCACTCCCTTCATTAACCCTTCCATCAGCAAGTTCAGATCCCATCTCGCCGCTGCCGTAGGCGTGGGTTCATGATTACAAACAAGTTGCCAGGCAGCGTGCACGGGCAGGTGTTCGCGAATCGTCCTGGTATTTATTAGCTGGACTTCCCTTCCAAGTCTGTGAAGTACTCCTGCCCTCTGTACTCTAGCAGCCAGGCTCGATGGAGCAAAGACCAGATCCAAGCGTTTGAACTCTCCCTTGGGACCATACCACGTCTTTGTAAGAGGCTTGTTTGCATCAGCAAAGGCGAAATCAAATTCTTGTAAAAGTAGCCGAAGTTTACGCCCGGCTCCCTCCCTCCATACTTCTCTAGTGGACACCTCCGATCGAATCACCGACGAGTTGGTGTACTCATAACTTCCCGCGATATCCTCCATCCCCATCCCATCATTTAGATCCACTGCCAAAATAAGAATCGAACGGCCCCTGATGTTCTGAAAGACGCTCCTTAGCCATGTTATCATTCCCTGGACAGTGGAAAAGTAGTTTGCCCTAGCTCGACGTACCGTGGGTCCCGGGGGGAAGTATGCCCCAACCATCGTCACATCCACCCTGTTGGCCCTGAGACGAAGTCCCAGTCCACGACCCTGCAACTGACGAGGAGGGAGCAAAGGCGGTCCACGAATTGACCTCTCAGAGAACATTCCACTGAGCAGAATAAACATCCCAACCGCCTTGGTGACAAAGGGGGACGGTAACCATCCCGCCTGCACTATCATGCACTTGCCGATATTGCGCTTGGTGGTCTCGCCGTCAGGGGCCGACCTCTGCTGTGTGCCAATTAGTACCGTGATATCAAACGTACGAAATGAACATTCCAGATCCTCCAAACGGTCAGTAAAAGTAGCACTGAGAGGGTTGTACGCCAGGACTCGCAACCAACGAAGACAGGCAGCAGCACCAACTCCTCTTTGCGCCATGGAAGCTGTGAGAAGCCTCTGAAATGAGATGTGTGATGCGCATGCAATTCATTATGCTGCCCCTTCCTCCCCTTGTCTCATTACGGCAGCTGGAGGAGGAGGAGGAGGAGGACCCCTTGCCCCTCCAACTTATGGTGATGGTGGTGGAGAACAAGCCCATCAAGAGAAACAGGAGGGCGCCAAAAGTAGACTGCAACCCGAGAATCCAACCACGACGCGCCTTCCACCAACTGCCTGCGAGAGAATGCCTCAAGGTCCTGAGGTCGTGGGGGAAGCAGGTCCGGACCATAGAGTCTGCTTCCCAGGACCATCTCTTCATCCCGACAAGGTGTTTGACTGCCCCAGGACCTGGGCAGGAAACTGGATCCCACGACCCCCCACAAGATCCCCATGAGGGCTCTGGGACGCCCCGAAAAGTTCCAAGAGCTTTTTGTTTGTCCTCTGACTGTTATTCTACTTCCCTGATCAGGGCGACACGTCTAGGCATCGTCTCTGCATAGACGGTTCTCTTCCCTATACTGGCTGCTTTAGGATAGGCTGGTGGGGATTGGAAGCGGTGCGCGCGAAAATCCAGCAATACACTTCCGCACCGGAATGTATTGCACGCCCCAGATCTCCTGCAACCCCACAAATGTATTGCCCCAAATCCATTGCACCGCCCCCTTTCAGCTGGACCCCCTTTATGTCAAGCAGAGTGTGAGGGGTGCGTCCTAATGCAAGGTGGAACCGCGTGCGGGCGCTGCCACTACTAGGACCTTCTGTGGAGCTCCCTATGGGGTCGCGAAGCGTGAGAGGGGTGCGCCGAAATGGAGGTGGTACTGCATGCGGACCCTGCCACTGGGGCCTTCGGCGGAGCACCCTTTACAGCAACGAAACGTGTGAGGGGTGCGCCGAAACGGAGGTGGAACTGCATGTGGACCCTGCAACTGGGGCCTTCGGCGGAGCACCCTATACGGCAACGAACCGTGTGAGGGGTGCGCCGAACTGGAGGTGGAACTGCATGCGGACCCTGCCACTGGGGCCTTGGGCGGAGCGCCCAATGGGGCCGCGAAACGTGTGCGGAAGGCATCGCTATGGAGGTGAAATTGCATGCGGACCACTTTGAGGGGTACGCCGAAACGGAGGTGGTACTGCATGCGCACCCTGCCACTGGGCCTTCGGTAGAGCTCCCTATCGGGCAACGGAACGTGTAATGGGTGCGCCGACATGGAGGTGGAACTGCATGCGCACCCTGCCACTGGGACCTTCGGTAGAGCTCCCTATCGGGCAACGGAACGTGTAATGGGTGCGCCGAAATGGAGGTGGAACTGCATGCGGACCCTGCCACTGGACCTTCGGCGGATCGCCCAATGGGGCCACCGAACGTGTGAGGGGTACGCCGAAATGGAGGTGGAACTGCATGCGGACCCAGCCGCTGGGGCCTTGGGCGGAGCGCCCGATGGGGCCACGATGCGTGCGAGGCGTGCGCCGAAATGGAGGTGGAACTGCATGCGGACCCTGCCACTGGGACATTCGGCGGAGCTCCCTATGGGGACACGAAACGTGCAACTGGTGCGCCGAAATGGGGTGGTACTGCATGCGGACCCTGCCTTTGGGGCCTTCGGTGAAGCACCCTATGCGGCCTCGGAACGTGTGGGTGGTGCGCCGAAATGGAGGTCGAACTGCATTCGGATCCTGCGTCTGGGACCTTCGCGCTTTCCTTCGAAGAACCATCGGAACCCAAGAAGCCCAAGGCATCCTGGAGGCGAGCAGGGGGTTTCTTAGCATCGGTCTCCACTGTAGCCGACTCCCTTCCTCCTCTGGGCCTCGAGCTACAGCCTGGGTCTGCAGCAGCCGCTCGGGACGATGCAGACACGCATCCGGAGCGCCCTCGGCGAGGCGCAGCTGCTGGAACGCATCCCGACGAGCCCCCCGCGATGCGCGGCGCTCGGCCATCTTCCCGCCCCCGCGGCGCGCCAGCCTGGACAAGGCCAGCTCGGCGGGCCCGGCCGCGACGCGCGAAGCGTGGCCGTCTGCCCGCCCCATCGGAGGTGACGCGGCGAAGAGGCCAAGACCGCCACGCCCCGCTCCTCGCCCGGCAGCTTCTTGAGCGCCTCCCCCTGCGCGCGGCGCTGGGGTCGGGTGTCAGGAACCGATCGTCCCAGCATTCATGCAGTCTTACCACGAGATGCTCTCATAACCCCAAAACATGTTCCAACAACAATAGAGGGCCCGGCGAAAACTGCGCACCGCACCATGCACGGGTCGACGATCGACTACGCCTCGGGAGACGACAGCAAGGTACGATGCACACAGGTCGTTCGCGGACCTTGAGTGGGCCTCTCAGAAAGGGGCACTAACAGATGCTGCCCTCAGAAGAAAGCCTTCTAGAACAATTCCTCATGCCTCCTCCTCCTCCTCCTCCTCCTCCTCCTCCTCCTCCTCCCCTCCTGCCTCCGCCTGCCTCCTCGTTCTCCTCGGCCACCTCCGCCTCATACTCCTCTTCCTCCACTCTCTTGGAAACTTGTGTGCCTTCTTGGGAGCGACTCCTCTCGCTTGGCGGGATGCACGCCCAGAGCGGGCAACGAATCCCACCAGCCCTTTAGGGCGTAGGTGGTCTAGGGAGCTTCCTCTTCCAACCCCCTTCCTCCCCTTCGGGGAACGTTTTACCCCTCCCCCTACCCCCTCCCCTGGACATGGACGGGTGGGTCCGCGGGTAGTTGGAGCGTCCAAAACGGCCTCGACGAGGAAGCCGAAATCACTAGGGTTACTAAGGTTTTGGCCCCATTTTGGCTTCCTGGAGGGGGGAGGCCAATTAAGGAACCCCTCTTTTTTGATCGGTCTCCACCGAGATGGCCCCAAGAGCGCTCCCAAGGCTCCCAAGGGCGCCACAAGAGGGCACCAAGAGGTGGCCAGGAGGTCCCAAGAGGCCCCCAGGAGGCCCCCAGGATGCTCCCAAGAGGCTCCCAAGAGACGCCCAGGCCCCACAGAGGCACCCAAGACGATTCGACTAAGGTTTTGGCTACAGTTTGGCCTCCTTGGGGGGGACACTGATTAAGATGACTCCAAAAGCGCCTTGGAGAGCCCATGATAACCTCCAAGATGGCTCAAAATATCCCAAGATGCCTCAAGATTGCTCCCGCGATGCTCCAAGAGGCCCCAAGAACGCTCCAAGACGGCTCCAAGTGGCCAAAGAGCTCCCCCAGGATGCCCCGAAGAGGCCAACATCCATCCGAAACCTTCGGAAGATCACGGCTGTTGGCTTTCTCGCCTATTCGCTTCCGATGACCATCCGAGGCCTCAAGATGGCTCCAAGATGGCCCAAGAGGGCTCAGGGAGAGGTGCGATGCATCAGCGATGCATCGGCGATGCGTCGGCGATGCATCAGCGCGATGCGTCGTCGACGTCGAAGGCGCATCGGCGACGTCGGCGTGCAGATAATCGGGCTCCGCACCGAGCCGCATCGGCGATGCGTCGCCGATGCGGCGCGATCCTCCGACCCCATCTGCTCCGACCCCACCCAGGAGGCCTAGCCAGAGGTCGCCGGCGGCGGCGGCGCGGCGGCGACGCCGACGACCTCCGCGAGGGCCTCCGAGAGACCCTCCGACGACCTGCGAGCAGCGCCGCAGACGTTCGCCCGCGGCGGCGATGCGCGGCGGCGCGGCGGCGACGCCGACGGCGCCGACCGCGCGGGCAGGGCCCCGCCGGCGGCCTCGCACGCGACCGCGATCGCCAGGAAGCTGGGCGCGGGCCGCGCGCGGGCCGCCGGGGCATGGCGGGCGGGGGGGGGTGATGCGACTGTGTTGCACCACCACCACCACCATAAGTTGGAGGGGGGAAGGAGGTGGAGGACGAGGAGGAGGTGGAGGAGGAGGAGGAGGTGGGTGCTTGGAGCGCACTGGGGGGGGAGTGGCGTTACGATATGGGGGGAAGGGGGGTTGGGGGCTATGATGCCCATTATGCCCCAAGCAATAAAGAAACGAGCTCCAGGAGTCGAGTGACCCTCAGCACAGTAGGAGCTCGACCACAGGGGACCTTCCACAAGAGGCCCAGCCCTGAGGCCCCAGGAAGTCCATTGATATTTGGTGTGGGAACATCACGGCTTCCGTCGCAAAACCATCGAAACCCAAGAAAACCAGGGCACCCAGGAGGCAAGCGTTAGGTCGAGCATGTCCTCCTACAGGCGGATGTTGGACGAACAAAAACATCAACTATATTCAAAAATGATCCAAGATACCGCCACAAGTCGTCCCCTGGCTAGTTTTGGATTTTTGTTTGAATATTCCTTCTGTAGAGGGACACGCCCGACTTAAGGCAAGCGGGATGTTTCTTGGCATGGGTCTCCACTGCACACGCAGGAATGGGCCCTGGGCAATGAAGAGAGACCCTTCGTGCGCGGCTCCTTGGGGGCCACGGGCGCGCAAGACGCTACAGTGGGGACCCAACCACAAGACACTTTTCAAAAGAAACGCAACCCTGAGACACCAGGACGCCCATCGACTTATGGTTTGGGAACGTCGCGCTTTCCATGGCAAAACCATCGAAAGCCAAGAAACCCAGGGCACCCTGAAGGCAAGCATGGTGTTTCTTGGCATGGGCCCCCACTGTACTATCGCACTGCGCTCGGCGATCAAGGGCCCTGTGCCTGGTGTGCCCGGCCGGGATCGGTGCACGTGCATCGTTCTCTTGTCGCCCGGTCCTCTCTCTCTCTTCCGCCCTGCACCCTTCCCTCAAGCATGCTCCTCCTCACGGCCGCTACACTTCGTCGCAACCCTTTGCCCAGCGCCCGCCGCAGGCAGGCCGCAGCAAGAACCCATTTTGTCTGGGGACGGCACAGTGCATCTGCTCTCATCTGCTGGTCACTCCGACGACGACGCCGCGGACCACGAAGGCGACTCCGCCAACCTCGACGACCGACCCCAACTTCCGACGACGACGCCGACCACGACGACGCCAAAGGTCGACGACGGCCGTCAACGGGAAGCCGACCACGACGGCGACAACGCGGGACGAACCACATCGACGGCGACGACAACGACGCCGAACCGACCGCCGCGACGCCGAACCGACCGCGACGACGGAGACGACGACGACCACGAGCCGCGCGGCCAGGCGGGACGGCGCGACAAGCGGTGGGGGCCTCGCGAGGGGCTGCGCGCTGCCCTCGAATTTCTTGGCCGCCCGCCTGGCCGGTCCGCCCATTGTCGTGTTCTTTCCCTCTCTCCGAGAATCGGCCCTGGAGGAAGAGCGGAGCAGGAGGGAGAACGAGGCAGCGGAGGCGAACGAGGCTGAGGAGGGGGGCATTGAAAAACCTTACTGAACTCCTTCAAGGCACTCGCTTGGAGCGGTTCTCACCAACACGGCGGCTGGGCCTGCCGCAGGCAGCTGGGAGGCAGTCGGCCCCACTTGCCGACGGAGATGAGGCACGTGAGGTGTTGGGCTGTCCGCCTCCACATCCTTCGTGCGTTTAGTGGCGCATGCTGCATTCAAAGCACAGGCTGAGAGAGGGAGGAGGAGGAGGCGGAGGAGGAGGAGGAGGAGGAGGAGGAGGAGGAGGAGGAGGAGGAGGAGGAGGAGGAGGAGTAGGAGGAGGCGGAGGCGGAGGCGGAGGAGGAGGAGGAGGAGGAGGAGGAGGAGGAGGAGGAGGGAGGAGGGAGGGGAGGAGGAGGGAGGAGGCGTGCCGCGCCGGGAGACGGCGGTGTCGGCGGGGTGGGGCGCCTGCCTGCCTTTCCCCCGCGGGGCCGCTGACCTCCCCTGGGGGCGAGCTCCAGGACGCACCCGCGGAGACCCAAGATTCTTCCAAGATGGGCCGCCGAGGCCCCAGGGCCCCCGAATTGGTCCGCGTCGCTCAACGAACCGAGGGTGGCAAATAGTGTATTCCGGGGCTGCCACCAGAGGCCACACGATGGCGCCAAGAGGACCCCAGGATGCAATCGTAAGCTCCAAGGTGGCTCCGTGGAGGGCCTCCGAGGGCCAACATTCGTCGAGATCTCTGGCGCTTGAAGCATGGCATTCCCCACTCGTCGGGTCAAGATGGTAGCGAGGTGGGCTCCTGAGACGATCGAACGCGCTCGAATGACACCCAAGAAATCCCACGATGGCCCAAGATGTCCCCGAAATGGCCCCAAGACGGCCTCGAGAGTGCCCGGGAAGCCTCCAGCTGACACGACAGCACAAGCGCCCACGGCGACACCCAAATCAGACACCGACCGACAAGCCTAGCTGAGTCGACCCCCGCTCTCACTGGTCTGGCTTCGGCCCCACTGGCCGACTACGCCACCCAGATGGGGATATGCGATCCAGGGCTCCGGCCCCCCCTTCAACAGTGCTACTGGTATCGCCCCCCCCCGCTGCATCGGTACGCCCGTGAGCCTCGCGAACGCGGCTTCGCGAATGGGATCGCCCCGCCTCCGTGGTCATGGCCCTGTGGGCGTGGCGTGGTGGTGGGTGCCGGTGACCCCTCCCCCTGATGGGTGTGGGGTGGTTCGTCGTCGTCGTCGCCCCCCCCATCCCATCTTGGGGGGGCTGTGGAAACCTGGTATCATCCCGTCGGGGGGGGGGGCCTTGTGAACCCTAGACCCCGGATCATATATGCCCGTTCGTTCTCGTTTTGCCGGGTTCATCACCACCTAGGAAGGTGGGTTGGTGGGGATAGGCTACCATTGCCCAAAGGGATGGGGATCGGTTAGACGACTCTGAACAGAGCCGACCGCGAGGCCGAGGCCGAAAGCAGCCGTGATGGGCGAGGCTGCGCGCACCGAGCGCAGCCGACTGCCTTGGAAGCACATTTGGGCACCCGGACCGCCACCTGGACCCCCTCACCGGGAGGGGCAGGGCAGGCAGGGGTGGGGCATCGATCTAGCGCCGCCTCTTCCGAAACGTCTTCGCCAGCAGGTGCCGGGAATTTCTAGCAGGTCTCCCAAAGGGCGAGCCCTTGCCCAGCCCCAAGGGGGCGATGATAGATGCCTTTTAGATGGGATCGGAATAGATGTAGTCGGAGGACCGCGCCGCACCGCCGATGCATCGGCCATGTGTCGGCGATGCACCAGCGATGCAACGGCAACGTCGGTGATGCACTGGCGACGTCGGCGCGGAGAAGCTCGGGCTCCACATCGAGCCGCATCGGCGATACGGCGCGATCCTCCGACCCCATCTACTCCGACCTGATCTAGGAGGCCTAGACCTAGCGAGGCCCTTCAGAAAATGGCGACGCCCAGTCTGAAATTTGACGCGAACTCCCGCTGAAGGCGTCCCACATTATTGAGGACCGTCCAAACGCAGAGCGGGCTCGTCAAGAAGCGCCAGCAAGAACGAGTTCGGGCGTGCTCGAGACTTACGCCGCCCTTCCCGGCCGCTTAGGAGGAGGAGGAGGAAGAAGAGGAGGAGGAGGAGGAGAAGAGGGGAGGGATATGAGCGAGGAGGAGGAGGAGGAGGAGGAGGAGGAGGAGGAGGAGGAGGGGGAGGGGGAGGGGGAGGAGGTCCCGAACTATGGAAGGCGCGGCCGATCAGATCGAGCGCGCCCCAGCGATGGAAACAGAAAGCTGTGGAGCAGCCGCAGAGGATGGCTGTCGAGCACAGCTCAGGCACACTCTTGCCCCCCAAAGCCAGCTCATCACACGACGAGGGCGGAAGCTCCAGAGCCTGCGAAGTGCAAGGTCACTCAAGAAACAACTTACCTGCGCGAGGGTGACGCCGTCTCATTAAACGAGAGACGGCTCGCTCCTGGTTCGAACGAGTCGAAGCGACAGAAGACGGACCATCAAATCGAGCTTCGAGCTTACGATTGCCGCCTTGTGAAATAGAATACGCTCCGCATGACAAGCAAATCACATGAGCGCCGAACCTTTTCTACACGATGGCCCAGCTCAGTAAGTGCCTGCACGATCACATCCAACCGCCGTCATCCTCGACGGCGACAGCGACGACCCCCCCGCCGTCCCTTTTCCACAAGCCCGTTTTCGGGGCCCGCAGCATCAGTAAGCTCGAGGTCGCGGGTCGCACGAAGGCGGCGGCCGCACAGCAAAACCCAGACGGCTGGCAGGACTGCCGTCTGAGAGCACGGAGGGAAACTGAAGTGCGGTCCCAGCGGTTGCACGATCGACACAGGTACTCCGACAATCGATCGCACACCCTAATTTCATGATTGTCCAGGACTACGGGGGCCATTGGAGGGGAAGCTCAGCGAGGCTCGGGCACGTCGACCCACAGCTGGAGCTCATCAGCCCTTCTGGCCACCGTCCTGGTCATTCAAGAAAAGATCCGAACATCCTTGACGAATTCGGCAAGACTGATCTTATGATGTTTTCAAGGGTCCGGGCAACCATCTGCGTGCGTGCACCTTTCTTCGCAACATGGTATGCCCATTCATTGCCGATGAAATCCAAATACGAGGCCGATGGGAAATCCACCACATCATCTGCAGACCTGTGTGCTGGGACCCAAGAAAACCTCGGCACAGCGTCCTGCCACCTGCTGTGCAGAGCTCTCCAGACGGACGCGTGACGAGACTTGACATTTTCATTTGGGCCCCCCAAGCGTGGCCAGCTTTGACAAGCGGTAAGTGGTCTGAGATTATATCAGCATCACTGCCTGCAAACTGCACAGCCATCCGCGCCGCGTAATACTCTGTGCGCGGTACCGTCTGGATGGGCCCTGGGAGCGTTCCGAAAGCTGCTCTAAGAATTACGCCTGACTCGTCGGGCTCAATGACTGACCAGCCACAGCGAGTGGGTCCTGGCGTCGACGATGCGAAGCCAGAGCCGTCCGTGCACACCCTCCGCCCCCAAACTCCCCGCCAGTCTCCCCATCCCAAGACATGATACTCAGCACAGGGAGCATCGGGCAGTGGCGGCTCGGGCGGCAGCCCATAGCGAAGATAAAAAAGTGTCAAGGCCCTGGGGTCCAGAACCGTGGTTAGAAATCATGGCGTCACGATGCTCCAGGACCTCATCTGGGGGCCGCTCTTCATCGGGAACATCAAGAGCCTCGGGGCACCCAAACCATTGGTGGGCCCCCGTGCCTGGGCAATTGTTGCACATGAAGCAATCAGGCGTGAGCCGAAGGTCAATAGAGTGCAACGGAGCAGGCGTCCACACACCTGCAGCCCACAGTGCTCGCAATGCGCCTTGCCTGCTGGCATCCTTGAACTTGAAAAGAGCTACTCGCAAGGCACGACGCCGGCAAGACTCCTGACTCCCACCAGGCAGGTGCATGAGGATGCGGCTCGACGGAAACCGACGGATACCATCCTCGAGGAGGCGACGCACATCCCATGGGTAAAAACACAAAAGGTCTATCAGATTCCCTTGGTCAGTGTTCACAAAAGTGGGCGACACCATGGACCAACCGACCCTCATCAGGGTAAACCAGACTGAGTGGATGGGGCCTCGAGTTCAAGCCCACGTGATACGAGTGGCCATCCTGTGGCGGATCCGAGCCCATGCTCGGTGTAGGCGGGCGTGATCGACTCTGCCTTCCCACATCACCGCGGCATATCTTCCAACGAGCGGAACAGAGGGGTCAAATCGATCGTCCTTTTGCGTGGCTAAATACAAAGATAGGCATGACTTAGGCTTGGCTCCAGCAAGACCCCCAGCGAACGTTCGAAGTTCTCCAAGAACCGCGTCCGCGATACCAGAAACACCAGCCCCATGACCAATTGCTGGGAGGAGTCCCGTCCTCCAGAGGGCCTTAGCGGCCTCTCCAGCCGCATGCTTCAAGCCCCAGGCCTTTCTACGCTTGGCCTGCAAATTACGAATGCGACGTTTCTCTTGCACACGTCTAGCCCTCGAACCATGCATCTCATGGCCCAGATTGCGCATCGCGGCTCTCTTAGCAACATGCCGAGTACATCGCTTGCAACTGCGTGCAGAATTAGCTACAACACCTGATTTGAATGGCTGTATGATGCGCCCCAAAGGTTTAACGTCTTCTCTAAACTCACGCACAACCAGGGCCAGATCCTGAGAGCAGTCTCTGCCAACATCTCCCTTACCAAGTCGTCGTCACGAGGCCTCACACTTGGACAGATCTGCTGAGCTCGCATTAAGCTACGATCTGTCAGAACCTGTAGCATAGAAGTCGACAGCGAGCACCCAGCTAGAATGCCTTGGTTAGAGGAGTAAGAGAAGGAGAGGCTCGAGAAGGCTCGAAGGGAGCGGGGTTGGAGCTATGATTGCATCGCCATCCAAGCGAGACCCAACGGGAACTTTACCGCCCGTGCCTCATCTAACAACCGCGCTAATATAACTATGTCGCAGCATGTAATGATATCTACGAAGAGAGCGAGGCAGTCCTCGTCCAATTCGTGGGCAATCTCGGCATCCAGGTTTAACGAGAAAACACTATCCGAGGAGGAACGGCCCGCTCCTGACCCCCATATGCTTTCAAGGGGGTTGCTGGCTTCCCAGGATGCTGCACGGGGGCGACGGATTCTACCCTCAACTCGAAAAGCGTCTGCATCAACGCAAGGGGAGGAGGAGGAGATGGAGGAGGAGAGGGAGGAGGTGGAGGTGGAGGAGGAGGTGGAGGTAGAGGAGGTCGTCGTTCCCCTATGGTGGTGAGCTCCTGGCAGCCCATGAGGCCCGAGCAACAGGGGGCATGACGACCCACATCCCGCAGGCTTCGGGTGTGTTTTTTTGTCGAGCGGACCAGGAAGCTGAGGCCCAAGCCTGGGATATACGACGGGGGGGGAGGTGCGGAGGAGGTGGAGGTGGAGGAGGAGAAGGAGGAGGATGGAGGAGGAGGAGGGTGGAGGTGCGATTTCTGTCGCCGAGGCCGCTGGGCAGCTGCGCCGACCGAGCCCCATGCGGGCGCGGCGCGCGCCAAGCGTCGCAGCAGCAGCAGCGGCAACAGCAGCAGCGAGCTCCATGGGGCTCTGGAAAAGCAGCAGCATTAAGTCGGGCCTGTCCCTCTACAGGAGGAAAAATAAAATAGCAGAAACCTCGTATTGGTCTTTTTTGTTTGAAAGCATGGTTGACTATGTTGGAGTATGTTTGAGCTATGTTTGATTCTTCATTCAAGATCCGCCTGTAAGGGGGACGCGCCCGACCTGACAGCAGCAGCCCTAACACAAAGGGGTTGCTTCCACCGCGGGAAGATGGGACGCACACGTGTAGATGATGAGCGCCCCTTGGAGGCGCATGACGTCCGCCTCCGAGGGGTGCGCCGCGCGTCCGAAGCGAACATGTACTGCGCATGCCGATCTATGACAATAGTTATGGAAGCCAGCGTGGACCCCAAACAGTGATGCTTTGCAAGATCTGCGGTGCAATCTGGGTGGTGCAATCTATGTGGTGCAGTTCTTGGGGCGCAAAAGCAGAGCACAACAATGCAGCGCTACGCATTGCAACGCAACGCAGATCATTGCAAAGCACTGCAAAAAGCAATGCACGAAGCAACGCAGAGCCTTACAAAGAAATGCATAGTAGTGAAACGCAGTGCAAACACATGCAAATGTATGCAAGAGCAATACACAGCAGTGCAACGCAATGCAGAGGCCAACGAATCGGAGTGAAAAGCAGTGTAGTGCGACTGCAATGCAACGCAATGCGATTGCAGTGCTATGCGACTGCAATGCAACGTGGGTTGGCGGGGGGTGCAACGCGGCGTCGGCGGCGGGCGGGAATGGGGCCGCCGGGGCTGCGAAAGGGCCTTGAATCGGGCCGAGGGCTGCGGCGGACGGACAGGAACGGGACCGCCGGGGACGCGCGCGGGCCCAGCTCTTAAGACGGGACGTAAGTCGGCGGCGAGCGAGGGGGGGAAAGAGGGGGAGAAGGCCTTCTTAGAAGGTTCGGACGCCCCCGGTCTTCTGAGAAGTTTTGTGAGCCTCCCCCGAAGTCAGAAACAGCTTCTCAGAAGGTGCGAGGGCTTCTGAGAAGTCCCGCCGCCTTCTGAGACTGCCTTCTCCTTCTCATTTCCCCCCCTCGCTCGCCGCCAAGTAAGAGCCCCGAAGCACAATCACCGTGTGGACAGTCCATCGTTACGCCAGCGGTACGGTTAGGTCGGGCATGTCCCCCTAAAGGCGGATTTTGAAAGAAAAAATATAAAATAATTAACACATGCTCCAACATGGTCACACATAGTCGTCACACATCGTCCGCATACGCTTTCTTTTGTTAAAATAAGAGCTTGAACATTCCTCCTGGAGAGGGACACGCCCGACAGACTTAGCGCTACGGCCAGACAACGCGCCCGCCACCGAGCCTGCCCGCACCGCCACCCAGACCTCCGAAGCAGAGGGAGCGCGCGCGCCGCCCCTCCCTGCGGGGCCGGGGCGCAGGGTGGCAGACCGGTGCCCGGACACTGGCGAGGGGATGGTCCTGGATGCGGGTGCTGGTGTCGTGGAGCGAAGACATTTGGGTGACCCAAGAGGGGGTCCAGCTGAAAGGGGGTGGTGCAATAGACTTGGGGCAAGTGTAATTATTGCACCACGTCCTGCGCTGGAGACTCGTATGGCGTTGTGTCGCAAGTAATGGATTGCACGCGAAACTGTGGGCAACGATAGGGGGGGACTGGCACAGGGGGGGATGCATCGACTTGGAATCGGCGATGCATCGCCGATAGATCGGCGATAGGGCCCCGATAGTGAGTCCGCACCTTCCTGGGCAGGTTAGAACTATCGGGCCCCTATCGGCGATCAATGGGCGATTGAGGGTCGATGCATCCCCCCCTAAACCTATCCCCCCCTAATTGTCGTTGCCCCTGGGAAACCCAGCGATACATTTGCGCCCCGGAATGTGTTGCACGCCTCAGGTGTACTGCAACCCCGCTGCGCTGGGCAGACCGATGCCTGGGCACTTCGAGGGGGGGAAGTGGGCAGGGGGCGGCCTTCTCGGAAGGCTCGGAGGTCCCCGGCCCTGCTGCGAAGCCTCCTCAAACCGCCCCCGAAGACACAACAGAACCTCTGAGAAGGTGCGGTGGGCTTCTGAGAAGTCCCGCCGCCTTCTGAGAAGGCCTTCTCCAGGGGACGAATAATGACATAATACAAAAACTCGGAGGTCAGCGAGGATATCTCGGATCGGAGCTGGACCTCCCTCCCTGGCGCGCTCCGCGCGCCAGGGGCGGCGCCGGAGGCGCCAGCCTGGGGGGTCAATTGCGGATCCGAGGAATCCGCGCGGACCTCCGAGTTTTGATGTTCATGTCATTCTTCGTTCCCCTAATCTTGCGGAGCACTCCCGACGCGGACGGTTTCCTCCGGGGCCGTAGGCGACCCGAGGAGGGGAGGGCGAGGAGGGGGAGGAGGAGGAGCAAGAGGAGGAGGAGGAGGAGGAGGAGGAGGAGGAGGAGGAGGAGGAGGAGGGGGAGGAGGAGGAGGCGGAGGGGGGAGGGGAGGAGGAGGAGGAGGAGGAGGAGGAGGAGGAGGAGGAGGAGGAGGAGGAGGAGAGGAGGGAGGAGGAGGGAGGAGGGGGAGGAGGAGGAGGAGGAGGAGGAGGAGGAGAGGAGGAGGAGGAGGAGGGGAAGGAGGATGAGGAGGAGGGGGAGGAGGAGGAGGAGGAGAGAGGAGGAGGAGGAGAGGAGGGAGGGGGAGGAGGAGGAGGAGGAGGAGGAGGAGGAGGTCTTCGTTCCCCTTTGGTGGTGAGCTCCCGGCAGCCCAAGAGGCCCGAGCAACAGGGGGCATGCCGACCCAGATCCCCCAGGCTTCGGGTTTGTTTTTTGTCGAGTGGACCAGGAAGCTGAGGCCCAGCCCTGGGATATACGACGGGGGGGGGCGTCCATCCTCGATCGGGGTGCGTCCGACTGGCCTCCCTGGGGGTGTCTCCCAGGGTCTTCCCCCTCTCAGGAGCGGCCTCCTCTCTCGTCGGAGAGTCGAGGGCTGGGGGAGAAAAAAACATCGCCTGCAACCGCGTGGCACCGCCACCAAGGTCAAACAGTAACCTCCCCGTCGGTGGATGAGACGACCGCTGATACTCCTGCTGGTGTTGGTGTTAGCCTCTCTGGGCCTCCGACCGCCGCGGTGGAGGCGACCGCCAAGATGCTGGTGCTGGTGTCGGCCTCTCTGGGCCTCAGACCGCCCCCCCCCCTCGCCGACCGCCGCCACCCGCTCATTCCCTCGCCTCGTCTCTGAGGGACAATGCCCCTCCGCCGAGGCTCGCGGCTCGAGACGAGGAGGAGTAGGAGGAGGAGAATAAAGAGGAGAGGGAGTGGGAGAGGAAGGAGGAGGGAGAGGAGGAGGGGGAGGAGGAGGAGGAGGAGAAGGAGGAGGAACATGAGGAGGAGTAGAAGGAAAAAAAGAGGGAGGAAGACAAGGGGAGGAAGTGGGAGAAGGAGGGGAAGAGGAGGAAGGAGTGGATGGAGAGGGAGTGGGCGCTTGCCCAAGGGGGACAAACACCGACCTGGAATCGGCGACACATCGCCGATGGATCCGCGATGGGCGCCCAGTGGCGAATCTGCACGTTTCTCGGCGGGGTGTGCCACCAGGCCCTGTCGGCGATCAACGGGCGATTTGGGGTGGAAGCATCCCCCCTGGGAGCCCCCCCCCCGTAGGATGCAACTACTGGGAGGTCATCGCCGGGAAGATCACAACAACATCAACAACAGAAAACCATTTGGGGGCTGCTACGCCGGATGAGGCCGCGGATCAAGCGGACACCTCATGTTGGGCGGGATGAAGCCGGAGAACGCCGAATGGAGCTGGACGAAGCCGGTCTTCGGACTGGGGCAGAGTCAGAATCTGACCTCCCAGGAGTGCATCCGAGCCCCCCCGTTGCCCCTGACCCCCCGCGGCCCCGCCGCAGCACGAGGCACGCGGGCGCCCAGATGTCCTTCCCGCCGGCCTCCTTCGCGCCCCCCCACCGCGGCGGCGGGTGGAGGGGGGGGGCCGTCGGCGCGCGCGCGGCGCTTGGGCGGAGCAGAGCAGGAGGAGAGAGGCCAGGGGAGAGCCTGGAGGGTAGGAAGACGAAAGAGAAGGAACTGAGTGATGCGAGTGAGACGCAGAAGGCGATCGTAGTGGTGAACATGTTTCGCATGATGATCCTGCCGTCCTTGCGCCACCGTGCCTCGAGGCGCGGACTGGACTTTTCTGCAGGTCCTCCTGCGTTCTCTGTTCTCTGTGGTCAGTATGGGGGTGCATTATAATATTCCAAGGGCTAGGGCCCCAGACTCTCGAATTTCCGATAATTGCGAAGATGCGCGTTCCGCCCCGACTCGTTCGACCTTGTGCTGCCCACGGCCCGGCGCAGGGGCAGGCCGCGCAACGCCCAGAAGATAATTAACAAGGCACACGCGCTCGCGAATGCCGCGGCTGGCGGCAGAGAGCAACGGAAGGAACTGTGGGAAAGTAATTTGGCGGGGGTAGAATGGCGCAAAGTGGCCAGACATTTTGGCTCCAGTGCGTGAATGTGATTATTCGATGTTCTGGCCTCCCCCGTTCCGTCTGTCCCCTCCTCCCTTCTCTCCTGCGCACCTCTTCCGCGAAGTGCCCACCAAGAAGGGTCTTGTTGTGCCATGTGTATCATGAGCTTTGGGGGCGACTCGGAAAAACCCAAATGTGAGCCCAGCCAGGCCAGGCACAACTGGGGGAGCTGTAGTCCTTACCCCCTTTGGGGGGCCCATCGATTTCGACACCCCTTCTCGAGAGATCGTCGCTGCGATGGACTCCCCCAGAGGGGTGAGGACCACAGCTCCCCCAGTTGTGGCTGGTCGGCCAGCTCACCCGCCCGCCTGCCTGCTGGGGGGCGTCGTCGTCCCCTCCCCTGCTTCGCAGGTCCTGCGTCGCTCCTCTGCCCGATCCCTCTCATGCTCGTCCACGGGTCCCTATCGCTCGCTCTCCTCCCTCCCCCGGCTCCTGGCTCGTCCTGGACCCCCCCCGGGTGTCGTCCCCTCCTCTGCCCCCTGCTGCCGTTGCCCTCCGGGGTCGTCCGCCTTGCTGGCGTTTTGCTGGCGAGGGGGTGGTGCATGGAGATGTTCGCTTTCGCCATTCCGTGCCATGAACTGGTGTCGTGTTTTGCATGCCGCCCCACTGCTTCATGGCCGCGCCTCCGGCAGTGATTATTGTTTCACCGCTTTGCCAATGCACCTTTGACGCGCACGGCTTCTCTCTCTCTCTCTCTCTCCCTCTCTCCCGTGCGTTCTTGGGCTGCCCCGCATGACTCTTCTGGATGCCAAAGGACCCCCAAGACGGGCCAAGAGGGCCCCAAGAAGTGACCAGGAGGCCTCCAAGACAGCCCAAGAGCGCTCCAAGACACCCAATATGGCCCCAAGATGGCCAAAGAGGCCCCAAAGACGCTCCAAGAGCGCTCCCAGAGGACCCCCAGGAAGGCCCAAAGAAACAACAACTTGTGATGTCTATTGTGTGTTCCTATGTGTTTCGCGTTCTCTCGCGACTCCGGGCTCCCGACGCTCTAAGAGGGCCCCAGGCACCCACCAAACGGCCGCAAGACGGCCAAAGAGGCCCCCAAGAGGGGCCCAAGACAGCCCCAAAAGGGCCCAAGAGGGGGAACAGGAACGGACAATTCGAGCCTTCCGCCCCGAGAGAGAGACCCCAAAAGACCAACAAGAGGTCCAAAATAAGCCGAGAAGAGACCCCAGAGCAGCACCCAGACGGCCCCCAAAAAGCCCCAAAACTGCCTCCAAGAAGCCCCCGAGAGGCCAGCCTAATTTCCAGCCTTCCGCCCTAAGATTGCCCCAAAAGTCCGCAGGGGCCCTCGAGGTAGCCTCAAGAGGCGCCGAGAGGCCCCCCAAACTCCCCTGAAGCCCCCCGGACCGCCCCAAGACGGCTGCCGAGAAGCTCCCCACGATCTCCCAACGAACATCCAAGAGGCCTCTAGCCCACAACCCAGGCACGGCGGCGGGGTTGGCCGAAGGTCACTAGATCCGCCGCCCCCTGTCGATTCATCGCAGGGGTGCCTGGCGTGCTAGATTAATTCGGTTCTGATTTAGGTTCTTTTAGTCGAAAACAAGCTGGTAAGCTTAGGTATGTGTTACGCTTTAAGCGCTGCCATATCCCAGGCTTTGGCTCATATCGCATGAGCAAGAGAGCAAGACGAAGCATGGGATCTGGAGTAAAGGATAGGATGGGCATCGTCAATGGAAAAGGTATTTTCCGATCTCTGATGCAAGTCGTGCGCCTCAGTGAGGCACAGTCATATATTTGGCCAGGCCCGGCTTGAGCCAGGCACGGCAGCGGTACATGCTCGATCTATACCTCGCCTTTAACCTTCTCCGTTTAAACTCGGAGGGGGAGGAGACGAGCAGGTACCGCACTTTTATATTATGCGGAAAAAACAGTGCTAAGCAGCAGCGGCTGCCTACAAGGAAAGGGCGCGCGAGTAGCCTCGCTACCGGCGAGTTTCCTCGCTATTAACGCGCACCTGCCCGCGGGTTTCCCCGCTAGCTCGGGAGGCAGGGCCGTCCTGAGACGACCTGCCCGCCCTATACGGTGTATGTTTCTTCAGCTCGTGCTTGAAGGATTGCTGGCCGGCCATTACTTGTAGGAGCAACGCGCGGTCAATACTACCTTTGGCATGACCATCGGCAGTCATATCCCGCGTGTCACACCATTGAACGCTTTCAACGATTCCGCGCTCCATCACTTGGCGGATCCAGCTAATGTGCCCAAGCAGAGTACATTCTGTGGGCTTCTTCAGATCTTTGCTAGATAAAGACTTGAAGACAGACTCGGCATCAATAGTCAGAGTGACTTTGATACATAGACCACCCATTTCCAGTATGTTCTTTAACTGTGTGGGGGTCAATGGTCCCGAGTGTAGCTCGTGGAGCGTTACAATGGTCGGGTAGCAGTCTTCCAAGTTGTGGGCTGCTGCCAGTGTTTCCGCAGAGTAGCTCGAACGCACCTGCAGTCGATGAGACTTGCAGTATGCGTCCAACAGGTGCACGACGGGTTTCCCCGCTTGCGTGTGGCCACGCCTCAGCAGGTTAGCCCCGCGGATACCATAGCCTTTGACTTCGTCGTCTTCATCTCCGTTGAGACGACGATAGCCAGAATCGCTATGCAGGTCGACTTCTCCTGTTGGGGTCATAGGTTGATACACGATCTTCTTCGGACCTGCCTGTAGCTTTCTGGTAACCGCGTTTAGTCGTCGTACCTGGATGTTTGTCGGTTCCTGGATACGTTGTAGTGAGACAACATAGACCATCAGCCATACCTGCGTGATCAACGCATAGGCTAGAGCGCCAAGAAGACTGACGAACATATCAGAAATCGTCTTTGTCGCTTTGCTCTCAGGATCAGCTCCTGTGAGTTCTGGATGTGTGATAGGACGAAGCTGTTTGATGAATTCGTCCTGATCAAGAGTGACGCTCCCATCATCGGTCTTGTTATACCGAACGGCACAATTTGTGTATGTGTGCTTGTTCAGTTTGCACTTCCCAAACGTATCTTCAACACACTTGACATACTTGTCAATAGCCTCTTCCTTCCCAGTCATATTGATGTCATCAACGTGCTTGGCTGTCAAGAGGTTTGAGCTCATCTCGAACTCTTCGTCGTATGAAGTAGGCAGTAGCCCAAAGCTCCTAGTGATGGACCTGAGCTTCAGCGAGAATGCCCTGGGAGCATCCTTCGTGCCCGTCCCCGGCTTCAGACACCGAAGACAATGCTTTGATTCGTCATATGACTCAAAGCCTGGCAGCGTGCGAAGGACAGCTGCTGACCCAGGTGGTAGTGTGAAGCACACCACACGCTCTTTCTCGCCCGTTGCCGCGGCGAGCTCGCCATAGGTCAGTCCCTTCAAGAAAGCCATGTTGATGTCCAGGGAAGCGATGATCCAAGCTTTGGTGCATGCAGCAGAACTTGCGAGCAGTCTCTGGCTTGACCTCCTTGCCGTGCCAGAGAAGGTTTCGACATCAAAGGCTTCAAGGTCCATAAAGCCACGGAGTACCAAGCGTAACCTGATCGTCCTTTCCATTTCGCCCTTTTCGTTCTTGACAAACTTCCATTTTTATACGTAGCGTGACGTCATGATGTTAGACGCTTTGCTCAAGTCAGTCATCTGGAAGCATTTGTTGTCAAGCCAAGTCTTCAATTCTGTGTAAAGGGCTTTGGAAACTTTGACCGGATTTGCTTGGATGTCGGCCTTCGTGAGTAGATCGTCTTCCTTGACGACCACGGCACGTTTGGAAGCAGCACTAACGTATACTCGCATAGTTGTGACGCTGCTGTCATCCAACAATCGATGTTGCTGCTCGGACAGGACGACTTTGGACATGTCTGCTGTGAAGCAGAGCTCGATGTACTTCCCGTGCTCATCGGAGTCCAGATCATATTTACTGTCCGGATCCGTGGAGCATAAAGGAACGTAGTAAGAAGTGTCCATGTCGTATCCTGGCGGGTGACCCCGCTCCGGCAAGTGGCCTTGCACATCTTCACAGGTCGTAGAGACTAACTCACACTGTGTGTCTGTCATGTATGTGGGAACTGTATGCATGACTTCCTCTGTGTCAGCTTCAAGGAGTGTTCTGTCATCCATCAGTTCAGCATACCACGACTTCAAGACAAAAGCATCCAGATCTTCTTCTGTTTCCTCTATGATGGTCGGTAGCCGACCATCGTTATCCGTAGGAGGCTCCTCAGGAGCAGCTGCTGGAGGTGATTCGCTTGGTGGTGGACCATCAGCGAGTTCCTCAAACTTAGTGAGGTCTTGGTCAAATCCAGCAGACGGCTTCCTGGATTTAAGACACTGGATGATGCGTGTGTGTAGATCCTGTGATGTCATAGATGTTCAAGGCAGTGCCATCAGCTTCATAGTAATGAAAACCAGGGGTCACATCATTATCATAGTGCACTAGTGTACAGCTGTCTGCATAGGGTGCAGCAGGC